GGGGGATAGGGACTGGAGTGTGGGGATTGGAAAGAGATCTATCAAGCATCTTTACTACTCCGTATAACCTTCCTATCGGCTATGGCCTAACTTTAATATTTATATTGAGATCATATTAATGTTGAATTTACACTTTTAATTTTAGGACTATTTGTTCACTCTTTTCGTCCCTAAATTTTATTTTTGTTGTATTAATGCATACAATGCATACAAAATGGAAAGTGGGTATTATGTATTTTTAATATTTCATAAGGTGAGTAAGTTGTTGACTTTATATTATTCTTTATTTTTAAATGTTGAATATTTTATTTTTTACAAAAAAAGATATTTATTTTAAGACGATTGATGCATATATTTGTTATAAGGGCGACTAGCTATCTCTTAAGTGAGATGGAGAAATAATGTTTGGTGCTTATTAAGAATTTATCACATTGGGTGTATTCTTTAATGACTTGTCAATCTTACGTGCTTGTCCACAACTCCATTGTAAAGAGTAATATTTAGTAAAAAGTGTCAAATAGGTTACTAATCTTATCGTTTTGTACAATTATTGGGTCAACTTAAAAACATGGTTGTAGTATACGTTAGATGCTAGTCGGGCGGTAGAGTAGCACACTGACGGCTTAGGCGGGCGCCTATACGACTAATTAAAAAAAGACAGTACACATGTGTGAGTGTATGTTATATTAAAAAAAAAAAAAGAAATAGTACACATGTGTGAGTGTATGTTATATCACACACACACACACAAATGGAAAAAACTTTGCAAGGTCGAGTCGAACGAGTTAATTTGGCCGAGTTTGAGGCTCCTAGGCTGATTTTTACAACAATGCTTTAAAATATGCAATTAAATTATTAAACAAGTAAAACATGTGCAATTGAGACATTTTTCTAATTTTTTTCCAGTAGAACCGGATCGTATAACTTATATGTTATATACTAAAAATCGCCCTTTCCTATGCCATACAAATTGTGATAAAATATTGAAATATTTGCTACTTAAATTGCATTAAAAGAAATCATGAAAATGTCCCAATTACACATATTTTGCTCATTTCATATTTCAATACAAAATTGATAAGTTCAGTGGTCTATTTGACATTTTTTTTTATATTTACATTATGTTTATAATTAGTATGCAATTTTTTAAAAGTGTTATTGACTTTATTACAACGTAGTATCTGTCCACCTAATGAAGCGTAAAGAATCAATGTCCCCATTGAGGTTCAAACCAGTAACATCCCCATTTGGAAGAGACACAATGATGTTATTGAATTACACAAGTTACTTGACAATATGTAAAATTTATATATTTAGAAACTATGTTAAAAAAGTATTAAATTTAAAATTATAAAAAAAATACTAATGAAAAATAAAAAAAAAAAAGAAATAATTTGCCTAGTAATCAAATTTACAAGTAGAGAGGTAAAATGAGACAAATGGAGTATTAATTTGAGGTAAATAAACGGATTTAAAGGCTTAAAGCAACTTATATAATAAGATAAACATCGTTTATTGGTTACGGAAAGTCATCGAGTCGGCAAGGCAATATATGTTATTTCAAAAAAAAAAAAAACTGGCTAGAGAGTAGAGTCTAGCTTTCTCCGGGTATGTTCGTATAATAATAATTAGACGCTTAAACGGCAGTGAGTGTTACTGTACCGCCTTCTTGACAGCGACACACCGACACCGCACCGGATCCTCTTAGCCTGCGCCGGGGACTGCGTATCGTGCGCCGGTGCAATGTCTAGGAGGAGGATGAGCTCGTCTTCGCCGCCGCCCTCATCATGCTCCCTCCTCGACCTCCCAATTCTCTCTACTCTCGCTTTCCTTATCATCTCTCTAGCTTTGCTTTCTGCTACTACGCCTACTACTTCCGCCGTCTTCGCATTTGCGCTCTCCGAAGCAGATCAGCTGCTGGATGCCGATGGCGCCGCTGCTAATGCCTCTGAATTCAACTCCTCCAGCAACGGACCCCACTCTCGCCCCAAGGAGGATAGCTTTGCTGACATGATCGATCGAGCTCTCGAGAAGGAATTCAATGAGACTGATCAGAACGAAGGTTAATTTCGCAGATCTATTCTCTTCAATTTTATTTTATCATTGGCAACTCTGAGTTGTGATTTCCCCACTCTGGATTGAAATTTTGCAATTGGGCTGCGATTTGGAATAGGGTTTTAATTGTGCTCTCATTGTTCACCAAAACTGTAAAATTTTTGTCATTCAGTATTTTGCACTTTTTGGTGCCAAGCCAAAGTGGTTTTCGTTCAATTAGCAACTGCATATGCATTTCTAAAGTAGAAGCTTGCGACTGGGTGCTTTTATCCTTTATTTTTTATATTTATTTGTTATGTTAAATAGCTATAGCGCTTGATTTGAGCTCAGAAGATTCACAACAGATGGTCATGCTCATTTGTGCCTAATATGTGAAGTCGTTTCACTTTTTACTTTCCATATTACCTTTTTGGGTACATGTCATAAGTTAGAGCTTTATGCAAGAAATAATTTTGAATTTGATCCCGATTTTATTGTGGTCAGCTTCTATAGCTGTAGGTAAAAGTATATCCTGAACTAATATTGCTTTTTCCTAATATGTGGACTTGCATTAAATTGGCAGCTAATGATGCAGGCAGCTTCAATAATACTGTTTCAGAGCAGCAGGTTTGTGGAATCTTAAACATTCTTCCTTCTGATTTTGAGCCATTTCTCTATAAGGGCAGTTTATATATGCAAAACTAATGTAGTCATATTTTGTTCCCTTTTCCTAAATGTCCTAGATCAATCAGTGTATCATTGACCAGAAGAATTACGTTTTGGCTAATACTGTATTCAATAAGCTCAAAGCATGAGCCACCACCAAAAGAATGGGAGGGTAGACTTTGATCTAGATTACAATCATACATTCTTCACTTACAAATTTTGAATTTCTGTTCAAAGCTTTCTATCTGTGGTGTCCTTTACCATGTATTTTAATGCATTGTAATTGTTCCTTTGGGAAAGTGGGGGATACAAACTGCTTTAATAGGGTGTCCTCAAACCTTGGGGGTTGGGTGCATAAAAGGTTCATTCCTCAGTTAATTTTTCTTTCTGCTTCTCTGCTTTGGAATTATTTGAAAGCTTTAGAGCTGGAAATCAGTTTAGAAGTAATCCTCTCTTTAGCCACAGGGTCTACCTCTGAGCAAATGAGCCTCAAGGTTACACATTTATGTGTTTCACATGTGATAAGCCAGTAGATTTAAGTTACAATTGAAACTTTACTGCATTGCATGTTTAAGTGTTTATTTCATTGTGAACTCCTTTCTAGCTTATAGGTTTTCTAAAGCTATCTAGATCATGCATTTTTCTTCACTAATCATCAGGCAGTGTTGGAGACTGTGGCTAGAGTTAAGTCCAAGAAAAATGACACCAAAAAGGAGGAAAAGTATGCACCTATACCATTTGAGCTTGGTATTTAGTTACATTCGCATTCATATACTCATCTTTTTCTTTCATGCAAATGGCTGTTCAGGTCTTTTCAACTTCACCATGTCTTTAACCTTGATAATGACAATGGAGCAGAAGAGACGCCAACATTGATTGATAGAAAGGTATATTCTAATGTTGACTTCCTATGTCATTTCCCGTCCTTTCTAAGAAGAGAATGAACAATTGAAAACAGTGGAGATTGTCTGTTTGAATTAAGTTTTGATGTTCTTGAAAAAATAATGATGATTGGTTTCTTGTACTTAGGACAATGTCTTTATCATATCTAGTTTCAAGTCAAAGTATCCAGTGCTACAATTGGACTTGAGGTATTCCTTCTAAACTGTTATAGAACTTTCCAACAATTGTCAACTCTTCTGTTGCTAAAGGCTTTGTATTGTGCATAATTTATAGGTTGATATCAGATCTGGTAGTTGTCATTGTTGCTGCAACTTGTGGTGGAATTGCTTTTGCTTGTGCTGGACAGCCAGTTTGTTAACTTCCACTCAATTTTATCTATAGTAACATCTAATATCTCAACAATAGATACCTGACGTTCAATAGTTCTAACAGTCTGTAACTTCATAGGTTATAACTGGATACTTACTAGCAGGATCCATTGTTGGACCTGGAGGGTTTAATGTTGTTAGTGAAATTGTGCAAGTAAGTAGTTTACATGACATTCTACTTTCTTTCTGAAATGTGCATCTTCATGCGTGCTTTACTAAAAGTCAGCTATGCATGGGGAGCTTAAAACTCCATGTTTCTCTCTCTCTCGCTTTCTTCTCTATTTTACTCTTTTGTTCATCTTAATTTGTGATGTGCACATAGGTAGAGACTGTTGCTCAGTTTGGTGTGATTTTTCTTCTTTTTGCTTTGGGGCTGGAGTTTTCCACAACAAAGGTTAGTTTATGTTTTCCAATTGGCATACATGATACATATGCTGCATGCCAATGTTTATACCCACAACATCTTGATTATTGGTCTGTGTTAGTAATATCAGTGTAATACATTTATAGCTCCGAGTTGTTCGAGCAGTAGCTGTTCTTGGAGGCCTGATTCAGATTCTCCTGTTTATGTGTCTTTCTGGAATTACAGCTTCGGTAGATCTTAAACTCTTTTCCCTTGTGTAATTTTTTTCTTAAAAATTTGTTGGCTCATCATTTTTTAAGAATACACCCTTTCTCAGGACTTTCTCTAATATGGGAATTTTTATGTATTTCCATATTTATAAGCTATTTCAGTTTGACCATTATGTTACTATGCACAATTCTATCATTTTTTGACTTGAGAATAAATAGTTCCCCTTTGCTACATTGTGATTAACTTCTTGAAGGCTATGCAAAGACCACTGGACCAACACAGAGAAATAAATATTTCAAAACACTTTTTATATTTCTATGAAACACTAGAAGGTGCAACTTGTAATAAAATTTGAGGGAGGTCAAATTTGTTTGTTGCAAATTTTACTCTGATGATTCCTAATAAATGGAAAATTGGTAAGAATACTATATGAAGAAAAGACCTATACAGTATACACACGTCTTAAGTGCGAATAAAAAAGGGAACTTTCTGTTTTTGATATTTTTGCCTTTGGAACTTTGCCTACTCTTCTAGATCACTAGACCTGAGAAGATATTTTATTATATCAGGCATTTGTTTGGAATCAACTCTGTGATGTTCATTGGATTTAAAAAATAAAAGATAAGAACTCAGAGCCTTTAAATCTTACTTGGAAAGAGTTGGATTTGAAACAGTTGCATGATCTCTTGTAACGCCCTGGTTTAGGAAAATAATTTTCTCCTCTAAAGAGATTTCCAACCTGTAATTCATATGCCATAGAGTGTTCTAACTTTGTCTGGCAATTCTGGTTGACGCTACTTGATGGTAATTGTAGTTGTGTGGTGGGAAACCTTCGGAAGGTGTTTTTGTTGGGGCTTTTCTCTCAATGTCTTCAACAGCAGTGGTAAGCATGTTTGTCTTTTACTGTCTACATACTTAAAACTCTTGTTCAAGCTCTGATAGCCAACAATGTCTTCTTGCTTTAGGTTTTGAAATTCTTGATGGAAAAGAACAGTACCAACACTCTTCATGGCCAAGTTACCATTGGCACTCTTATTCTTCAGGTGCATTGATCCTCTGGTTCATTCATTTTTTATTTCCCTATTTGCTTAATTTTCTTTTGAAGTGTAATGGGAGCTTAAAAGCCAATTCCTTGTTAATAATGTTTCTTTTGGTAATAACTTCATTGTTAGACTGACTGATCCTTTTTGTTTTGAAATACCATTGACCTCTCTTTCAACTTCCCTTTCATTTATACCTATTTTTTTTCTCTTCAAGGAGAACGATGTCATGATCTAAGTTCCAGTTATATTTCACAATTTTCAGGATTGTGCCGTGGGTCTTCTGTTTGCACTACTTCCAGTACTAGGAGGAACATCTGGTGTACTGCAAGGAGTGATGTCCATGACAAAGTCGTAAGTCTTCCAATTGAACAAGTACTGTGGGGAATTACTTATTTTGACAAAGTTGTTAAAAAGTTAAATTTCTTTTTTCTTGAAACTCACCACCTTTTATTTATGTATATAATGATAAATACTCCAAAATAATGACAACAACAACAACAATAATAATAATAATAATATTAATATCTATTATTATAAGTCTAGAGAACCTATTATTCCATTTTTAAAAAACTTTTGGATACATCTGAGGGCAATGAGCTTTAATGAACCTCTTTATCTTCTTTAGCTTATGTAACTGGACTACAAAGCCCTTTTCTTAAATTGGATTATCTATAAACTGTCTTCACACATGACAAAGGATGAAAGTAGTTGTTGAAGTTAATGGTATTATATGAAAGGAATACAATAAGAATTGTTTAGAATACACAAAGGAGTTCTGCCTCTGAAGAGGTGTTTAATTGCTCCCACGACAATAATATCTAGATTGATCATGGTATAGGTGGATCAATTTCAATTATACAATATAGAAGCAAGTCTGGTACCTAGTATTTGGTACCTTTATAAGTGTGAATAACGGATAATCTAGAGGTTAAGTAAATTTGTCACGATTGTTTTACACTATTAATTCATTTTAATAATGATTTGTTTTCAAGCCTTGCCTGCAATTCACTTCTCTCACCAGTTGAAGTGTTTAGAAAATGATAATCTCAAAAAATACCAAGAGAAGTTTGATATGATAGTCTTCAAGATGCTAGAGGTATTTTATCTGCCTAGGCAAAATAAGGAGTATAAGATATAGCAATTCTTCTATTTTTTTAAAATTTAATTTTGTTTTTGATGTTGTCTTTTTCAAATAAGTGCAATTATTCTTTGTATAGCTTTATCTATGTGTTATTCTTCCTTAGTTTTGTTTCTATGGTATTCTATCAAAATATTCTCTACAAAACTAACACTAACATGGAGATGCTAAGGGAGCAGCTTTTGTATTCCATTTCAGTTATACTTGCTTTACATCAGGTCAAATCTGTGTTATACTGATAACTTATCATCAGGTCGGTGATGTTGTTCACATTCTTAGCCGTTCTGTCAATATTGTCTCGGACATGTGTGCCTTGGTTCCTGAAACTGATGGTTAGCTTATCGTCACAGGTGAACTTTACTAGTTGAAAGATGCAAATATAGGTCTTAAATCTTAATTATTCAAATAGAGTTGCTTATAGTATGTTTGAGTGTGTGTTTTTAACTTTTTACTAGTCATTGGTGCCTAATAAGCTATAATGTTCATGCCCAAAGTTTTACTGAATTGCTTCTTTATTGTTCTGTGCAGACCAATGAACTTTATCAACTGGCAGCTGTAGCATTTTGCCTCCTTGTTGCTTGGGTTTGTGTTTCTTCTCACTGTTCAGATCCTTTTGGGCTTATTTCTTACATGTATTTTTACCTGAAAGTGATAAATCCAGAACCAAGATTGGTACATCAGCACAAAATCCTTACTTGATGGCCCTCCGACTTTTTATCTGCTTTTATTGACTTGCAGCATCTAAAGTCCTTTTGTTATTGTATTCAAATATTTGCCTCAATCCCTTTTGCATGCACAGAAAGCATTTTTACCACCTACTTGGAATGATGTATGTACTATGTACAGTATGTAGTGTAAATGTGTGTATATCAAAATTGGGGATGGTAGTATGAAATTTTGCCTTGTGTTGTCATGAGATGTTTTGTGGTCTCTAATGATTTGTATATCAATTCAGTGTAGTGACAAGCTGGGTCTCAGCTTAGAATTGGGTTCATTTGCTGCTGGGGTGATGATATCAACTACCGATCTTGCTCAACATACATTAGAACAAGTCAGATTTCTTCCTTTCACTTGTTTTTTTCCTGAGACACTAGAGATGTGATAGTTTCTATGGTTGTGAACTTGCATTAAAAGGATATGTTGAAAATCATAAAGCATTATAAGAATAGGTGTCATTTGCTTGGTTCTGTTGATATTGTTTGCAAAAGCATAAATTTATCTTGTCAGAATCATCAGCTTGGGTTCTGTTTTAATTAATTTTGAAGTCTTTTGGACAAGACATTAGCATCTATTTATCTGATGCGTGGTAAGTAAATTTGATATACTATTATGTCAGGAATGTGGGTGGTTGCCTAAAGGGCGATGTTGGATTGAATAAATACTTACTAGAAATTGGCATGTTATATTTTATAATCAAATTAGTCCCAAACCAGGTTCAAGTCCTTGATGGTTTACGTTTATATCTAGCTACGACCCTCTGGTTTATTGATTCAATTTCTTCTGTGAATGACTGAATGCTTAAAAATTTAGAGGTAGATTGTTTTTATATGATGTCATTTGGACTGGGCATTGGGTTAACAGTTGCCATTTACACAGGTTGAACCCATACGAAACTTCTTTGCTGCTTTGTTTCTTGCTAGCATCGGGATGCTGATACACGTTCATTTCCTCTGGAACCATGTTGATATATTACTAGCATCAGTTATACTAGTGATTGTTGTTAAAACTGCTGTAATTTTTACAGTTGTCAAGGGATTTGGCTACAACAACAAAACTGCGATTCTGGTTTGATACTGTTGCTTTATTTAAATCAGAGCTTTTGTCTTTTATTGTGTATTTCGATAGTTTTAGTTACAGGAAATGATGGATCATGGATTCTGTAGGTTGGGATGTCTTTAGCACAAATAGGGGAATTTGCTTTTGTGTTACTCAGTCGTGCATCAAACCTTCATCTTGTCGAGGTAAATGCTTTGTGGTTTGATGTGCAATTTTGCATCATGTTATCATGTGATGCATGAGGCATGTTTCTCTCTCTCTCTCTCTCTCTTTTTTTTTTTTTTTAAAATATATATTTATATTTATATTATTTTTTTCCCCGAGATGGAGGGATAGATATTTTACTATCGTAATGGTAGTACTTCTTGTTTATACCCATTTTATATGTAGAAGTCAATTTTTTTTTTTTTTTTTTACCTCAGATGGTACCTTTTCCATTTTCAGGGGAAACTGTATCTTCTGCTTCTTGGTACAACAGCTCTTAGTCTGGTATGAATCCTCTGTGATGCTTCACTTGATTCCTTATGTACTAGTAAAACAGAACCTAAGCATTCCATGTAAATGCCATTAAGGTTTTACATTTGATGAGATATTGGTCCATCACATGTCGAGGTGTTTTTTTTTTTTTTTTTTCTCAATTGTTTCCTGCAGTACTTCTTAAGGACTTAATTTATGATATATAAGAGTTTATTTCACTTCTTGTCCTATGACTATTAGGGTGTTGTCAATTTGAGTCCACAACTTTCAAAACTAACAATTTAATACCCTAACTATTCAATTTTTATCAATTTTAGTCAGTCTAGCCAAATTGCCGACCAATTATCAGCCAATTGTCGCCAACTTTTAGCCATATCCCACCTGACTCTTTATTAATTCAAACAATGGTTCACAATTAGCTTCCATTTTAACACTGAATTAAAATATTCCGGCGACAATTGGACGACAGTTTGGTCGGACTGACTAAAGTTGATAAAAATTGAATAGTTAGGGTACTAAATTGTTAGTTTTTAAAGTTGTGGACTCAAATTGACAACACCCCAATAATTTTATAGGACCAAAAATGAAATTAACTCTGCTATATAAAATATGGATTGCATATTATGAGCTGCTAGGATTTAAGTACTTGAGTTTTGGAGTAAATTTGATCAACAGATAACTTATATGTGCACACATGACTGTTTGATGCTCTTTTTTGGAGAGGTGGGCAGGGGAGAGAATAATGAAGAGGATAAAAAATATTAGCATTTGTTTCATTCAATATCCTGAATCTGTAGTCTTGGATGCTTCTATTTCTTTTGGAGGATTTCAAGTGTTATTGTATAATGTTTATATGAAATGGATAAATTTCTGGGATTTTGGTTCTATTTGTTTGTGATTGCTGAGTTTTGCACTTGTGGTTTTCAAATCTTCAGGTGACTACTCCATTGCTTTTTAAGCTAATACCTGCTGTGGTGCACCTTGGGGTGCTGCTTAGGTGGTTTTCACCTGACAGCCAAACTGAGGTAAATAAATAAGCGCTGCCCATGATAAGATGCACCTTTTCACCTTTTTCAATACTGATCATCATCTTTTACTGTCCTTTTTGTGCACTAAAATGTCTTATGAGTACCCTTTTCTGAATTTCAGTTGGGGTTAAAAGGAGAAACCCTCCGATCAGAGAGTGTTAAGCAAAGGATTGCCTTGATATCCAAGGATCTCTTGATTCACGAGGGGTAAACTAGTGAAGCTAGATGCCACATATGCCCGGGGACAACAAAAAGGCTACATTCCCAGCTCAATTTTTAGTATATGCACTTGAGATTCCTGCTCAATTCAACCAAGCTTGCTTTACGTTGTGCTATATACTTCAGCTTAGACTTAGAGAGAAGGGAGTGGCAACAACCTCTGAAAATGGGAAACCACAATTGGAGGTTTTCTAACTCTGACAGAACCACTAACAAGATGAAGGCATTCGCATTCGCATTTAACCAAGGTAATTTTGATTTTTCTTTTTCCTCTTGTCATTCTTTTTCATTTTTTGCTAGTGTAAAATAGTTTTTGGTTTGTGATGTGTAGTGAATTTTGTGCAACCGCATTTGGTTATGTATGTTTGTTCTGTAGATTCTAGAATGTAACAAAAAACATTTTCTAGCCTGTTATTCGATGTCAATTGTATAGAAGTGCCATCTCTCAGTACTTTCTATTCTTGAAAATTTGCCCAAGTTTTGGGATGGTAGATTTTTGCAATGATTGGAATTTTTGCACCTTTTTTTTTTGTTTCTTTTAAATGATAAGTATACATTTATGCCCTTTATAATAATTTACAATTTTAATTGATCAATAATCCATGAATATCTTTAACAAAAATGAGGAATAGGTTCACAGTAATTTTTAATTGAATATAACATTAAATCATTGAGGGCAAATTTCGTAGTACAAGAGAAATTATAATATAGTAATAAATTATGGTTTGGAACTCAAAAAGCTCCAAGTTCTGAGCTTATCAGCTCTGTTAAAGCCAACAAACTCTTGGAATGCTTCTAGTCTACTGTCTCTATGACTAGATGTGGGCAAATTATATTCTGGATTATGATTCACAATTTCACTTTATAATGTACCAATCGTTATATCCTATACCACGGCGCACATAGCACTGTGCGCCGCGCGCCTCCCAAAACGATGTCGTTTTGGGGTCGTGTTGGGAGGCGCGGTAGGAAGTTGCTGAGATTATGTGTATTCGTTCACAACGTTATGTGTATTGGTTCATACAGTTATGTGTATTTTTATACAATTATGTACATTGTTTTTATACAATTATGTACATCCGAATCAGAAAATTTGTGTGTATTATGTTAAGAGTTGATGTGTATTATGTTAAAAGTTTATGTTTATTATGTATTATGTTAGATTATGTGTATTATCTTTTAAAAAGAGTGTATATTTTGTTATAACATTATGTGTATTCATGTATAACATTATGTGTATTCAAGTATAACATTATGTACATTCTTGAACAACGGGTTTTTTTTTAAAGAAAAGCCTACTGCCATTCACTGGGGCGGAAAATTTCAAAAAAAAAAATAATTAAAACGACGTTTTGCATCTGGGCGCATAGTGCAATGTATGCCGTGGTGTAGGATATAAATTGCCATAATGTACCTCATGAATAAATGTTCATTTTGGTATATTGAAGATTAGTTTTTAATATATGAAGATTCATTATTTAATAGTATATCAAATAATGAACTTTCAATATACAAAAAATGAACATTCAGTATATTAAAAATAAACTTTTAATATTAAAAAAAATGAACATTTAATATGTTAAAAATAAGTTTTTTTATCTCATTATTTTATCTTACAAGATAAATTATGATCTATTTATTGTATAATGATTGCTCTATGTGCTCAATATCTCCATACATTTATGTTTTACACTATATATTATACAAAAATTTATCTACGCAAAAGAGATTATATAAGTTTGAATTTGAATAACAAATTATAAATAATGTAAAAGATACATTTATGTTTTGCGTACACTATATATTATAAAATTTATATCTACGCAATACATGAAAGAGACAAATTATAAATAAGGTAAAAGATGTAAAGTACAAATCGAGAACGATGTAAAATCATATATTAAAAATTAAAAATTGATTAATAATTGAAATTGATTTTGATCCTAAGATAATTCCCTTCTAAAATAAATTAATCATAATAAACTTAAAATGATTTATATAATTATTGTATTATTTTAACTTCTACTTCGTATACATTTATTTATTTAAGATATGTAATCTATTCTAAAATAATAAACATCAACAAGCCTAAAAATAATGAACATCAACAAGCTAAAAGTAATAATAATTAATATACTTACCAACTTCTTAAGAAATTACTCTTCATTGTTCAAAGCACTTAACCTAAGGATATAAGATAATAAATATTTACTATCAACCAAATATTTTATGAACTAACTTTAGATGTTGGTAGGAACGTGCAACAATATCAATGGCTTAGATGAAGGTCTATATTTTAACTGCTGAATAAACAGCAAGAAGATTGTGTCAAGTGACAAATTGATTAATCCGTGCGAAGTATTAAATATTAAGCGAACAAATTGCACTTTTGGTCCTGTGAGTATTAGGGTACTGACAATTTGAGTACGTGACTTTCAAAACTCCCAATTTAGACCTTTAACTATGCAAAAATTGACAGATTTGGTCCTCCGGGCCAAATTGCCGGCCAATTTTGGCCGAAAAACATAAATTGATTCGAATTTATTTGTGTTGAAGGCAAAATCGTCATTTCACTCCCTTCTTTTTCACCATGATCACGGACACGACACCACCGCATTCTTCCGCCACCTCTGAACCAATTCCCGCCGCGCCTACGCCGGAGGACGAGGACATGGCTCGCTGCCTTATGCTCATCTCCCAAGGCGGAGGAGTCTCGCGTCATCCTCCTGCCATCCCCAAGTCGCCGCTGTACAAGGAGGAGAGCGGCAGCGGGAGCAAATTCTGCAGCAAGAAATATATAGAGACGACCACCGTGGGCGGCGGGGGAGGGGTGAAAGTGGGGATGTATGTCTACGAATGTAAAACGTGTGGCCGCACGTTTCCGACGTTTCAAGCGCTGGGCGGCCACCGGACCAGCCACACCAAGGAGAAGCCACCGTTGACGACGGTGGAAACCGCCGCCGTGAAGAGGCCGCTGTCCTTGTACGATGAAGAAGACATTAATCCTTATCCGTTCAACAAGACCCCTAAAATCTCTCCCCCTTTCTCTTCCCTCCATTTCTACGATTCCGCCAAGTCCTCCCCCAGGATTCACGAGTGCTCCTACTGCGGCGCCGAATTCTCGTCCGGCCAGGCGTTGGGCGGCCACATGAGACGCCACCGTAACTCCACCGCCGCCGCCGCCGCCTCGCAGTTGAGCCCGAGCTCTTCCAGCTTCGAGAAAAGGGTACTCCAAAAGGAAGAAAATAATGGGAAAGGTTTGAATTTGGATCTCAACCTCCTCCCCGCCGGAGAAGATAATCAAGATCATCGTCGTGCTAGGGAGCTGCCGGAAAATCAAGAACAACAACCGCCGCAAGTACAACCAACCCTTTTTTTGTCCACCACCCCACCGCTGGTTGGCTGCAAATACATATAAAATTAATTACTTTTTAATTTCTTTTTATTTCAAAACCGTCATTTCACACAATCCGGCGAAATAAAAAAATGCTGAGAACGGTTTAATTTCTTGCTAGTGCCGGCATCAGAATCCGGCGACGGTTCAAGCAGAAGAAGAACGAAGAAGAAAGGGAGAATGAAGAAGAAGGGAGTGAAATGACGATTTTGCCCTCAACACAAATAAATTCGAACCAATTTATGTTTTTCCGGCCAAAATTGGCCGGCAATTTGGCCCGGAGGACCAAATCTGCCAATTTTTGCATAGTTAAAGGTCTAAATTGGGAGTTTTGAAAGTCACGTACTCAAATTGTCAGTACCCTAATACTCACAGGACCAAAAGTGCAATTTGTTCATATTAAGCGTAAAAAATAAAAAAGCCCGCAAGGGGGGTGGTGGCGCAGTTGGCTAGTGCGTAGGTCTCATAGTTTAGAGTGATCCTGAGGTCGAGAGTTCGAGCCTCTCTCACCCCAAAATCCTTTTTCCAAGAGACGCTGAATCCGTGCGTGGTAGGGGTTTGTTCAAATTGATTTTGCATACATGAGGATATATCTATACTTCTATACTAGAGGATATATCTATACTTCTATCTATACTATATATAAAACAAAATCTTAAACTTTAACTTTCTGCCCAAAATCCTCAAATTTTAATATATTGTTTTCTACTTTCCTATTCGTACTATAATTCTACATTAAAATTCTTAAATAGTGTAATACAATTCCTAATTGAATATATTCTTTATGCTTCTACTTTCCTATTCGTACTATAATTCTACATTAAAATTCTTATTCTATACTCCTATAATATTTATAAAAATAAAATCCTAAATTTTAACTTCCCGGGCAAAATCCTCAAATTTTAATGTATTGTTTTCTACTTTCTTATTCGTACTATAATTCTACATTAAAATTCTTAATCTATACTATTAATAAAAACAAAATCCTCCATTTTAACTTTTCGTCCAAAACAGTCCTATACTATTATAGGGCGTTTGGTTGGAGACAATTTAAATTCCCTTCCCACTTAATTCCAAAGACCATAAAATTCCTTAGTTTGGTTGGAAGGAATTGCAATTCCCCCATTTTCATGGGATTAAAATCTCATGTCCGCCCGTGGGATTTTAATTCTTGGGATTTTAGGAAGAAAAAAATCTAGTGATGAGACAAAATTACCCATCGATTTGTTTTTTTACCTAAAATTAATACCACAACAACAATGGGCATTTTGGACTTTATACTACTTATTCCCTTTCAATTCCCATGTATATCAAACATTGGAATTGAAATTCCCAGTAATTCTATTCCTGTAAATCAAACACTGGAATTTAAATTCCCACATCATTCCCAGTAATTCATCTCCCATGGAATCGCAATTCATTTCCCATGTAATTCTCCCCTCCAACAAAACGCACGGTTAAGGTTTGTGTAATATTGTAAAATAGTGTAATACAATTCCTAATAGAATATATTGTTTCATACTTTCCTATTCGTACTACAATTCTACATTAAAATTCATATTCGTAATACAATAAAATATAATACTTGCAAATTTGCAAATTATAAACAATAATACTTAGATTTGCGTAATATTGTAAAATAGTGTAATACAATTCCTAATACAACATATTGTTTAATTTCCTACTTTCATATTCGTACTACAATTCTACATTAAAATTCTTATTCGTAATACAATACACCAATATTAAAATTCCTATTCCTATTCAACAATATTATTCCGTCACTACTCTCTTGGTCTTTGTAACGGGACGCGGCTCATCATCACAACATTGGTAGATCACATTGTCGAAACAAGAATAGTTAATGGGACACATGAAGGAACCAAAGTTCTTATCCCTCGAATGTCTCTCACTCCTTCTGATACGAGATTGTCCTTCAAGTTCCAGCGTAAACAATTCCCAAACAAAAGTCAATGCCAAACACTAACTCACGTTGGGTTATTGCTAAAAAAAAACTGGTCTTTAATCACTGACAATTGTACGTGGCTTTCTCCCGAGTCACCCATCATGATGGCATGAAGGTGTTAGCTCTAGATGAGGATGGACAATATTGTGTTGCGACTACCAATGTCGTTTACAAAGAAGTTTTCAATAATGTATAAATACAATCAATGATATTATGTTTTTTTTTTCAAAATGACAAAATTGCTATATATCTAGAAAAAAAGAATATCCTCTATACAAATGAATTAGGATAGCAATTTATTATTATAACTAAGTTGCTAGAGAACGAGCACATTTGCCCAATTTATAAAAATCCTAAACAATGGTATATAAAATCTCTAAAGTTACAGCACCGCATGCGTACATCTATACATTAACTATTAATTCAACAATTATTTGGTCGAACTCAAGCAATGATAACATCACATAACATAATTGATCCAAACCATCTTTTCAATTGCACTATATAATATTTAATGTTATAATTTATATAATTATATATATAATCCTATACTTGTTATAATTCGATCATATATTCGGGTTGTATAATCCGGACCCCCGGGTTCATATAATCCATCAATTTATCGATCCAAATATTCTTAAAATATTATAGTAAATTCATTCCGTGCATCGCACAGGTAAAAATACTAGTTATGGGTAATGAAAATTTGAACACAAATGATGAGCCTATCAATATTGATTATAAATTTTTATATGGGATAATCACATTTTGTCTTTTAATTGTTAACTACATAGTATTATGTAATTTAGTCATTTATTTTCAATTTTAGACAATATAGCTATCAATTATTTGATCATTTTGTGAATTTAATCTCTTAATGAATTAAATAGTCAATTTATTATTCTTTTTTTTTTTTTTTAACAATTGCCGAGTGAGAATTGAGGACAAATCTTAACTGTCGATCTAGTATGATCAAAGGCTAAAATTAATGAAAAAGATTTAAAAAAAAAACAATAACATTTATATAATTTCCTGTAATTATAATTGTGTATTTAAAGATTTTGTGCATTTAAAAATATTTGAAAAATTTGGTGAGCTGATAGACTCTCCTTTGCCATTGATTTGCTACTAAGGACCAATTTTTCTTTACTTTTTTTTTTTTCTATTATTTTTTAAATTTTATAATTATATTATATTAATTATGTGTGGGTGCACTTATTGTCAAGTGACAAATTGTTGTTATGTCACAAATTGCTCTCTTGTACTTAATGGTAATATGTACCGTCATACAAGAATAATCTTTCGGTTTACTTTGGATGGTAACATTTATTTGCTATAGGCCCTAAATATTGAGGTTTATATCACATCTTATAAATGAAACTATAGCCTAATTTTTAAACATAGCATTGCTCATAAGGCGACAAATTATAAGCACTAATTAGAGATAACAACATTAGGACAATTTTTAATGTAAAATTGACTTGGTATTGATTTAAAAGTCAAATGTTATTTGTTCAAATTCAAGTTTATTGATGGGGCTAATTTATTATAGAAATTATTTTAGATGAATCTTAGCCCTTGGGCATTGAAATAAATTTCAAATATGAGTATTTAAACAAAATGCTAGTGTCTAATTTTTAATATAGTTTTATTTAGAAGGTAAAGTGATAAACTAAGAGCATTAATCCTTTATATGTCATCCTTTGGAGTAAAATTAAACCCCGATAGTGAATATTTGATCGAAAAGTATGCATAGATCCTAAGTGCAACCTGTAAAGGATTGCTATAATCAATAAATTGTTATAATCTCCTAATAAATAAATTTGAGATTTCAGGATGTTGAATCCATATCTGAATATGACCAGTATAGTATAGTATTTTTTCATAGGTGAAAATATATTAGAACTATAGAAAGTTAATATTAATAAAAAACTCCATTAGCCTTCTAAGCTAGTCACATTGTACTCAAGTAGAACTATATAGAAAAGTCATATTGAATAATATGAGTCTTTTTGTCTTCTATGATGGTCACATTATACTCCAGTAGTAGTACATGACAAAATTATACTAAGTGTTTTGAGTGTCATTGATCTCTTAAGATATCAAAACCTTAGTTTTTTTTTTTTTTTTGGGGGGGGGGGGGGGGGGGGGGGGGGAATGAATATACTCTTTAAGTCCAAACTACCCTTCAAATTATGTGTTTGTTGTTGAAATACATGCAATTAACAATATATGTGTCTGTGAATAAAATTGAAGGCACATAACATGACAACTACATACATATAATATATTAACCGCAGACACATAATATATTAACCAATGGGTTTAAAATAAATGAAAGTGACAAGTCTGTTTATGTTAAGTGACAAATTCATTTCATAACTCTTTAATTACTCTTTGATAACATCAATAAACCTATTATAATCATGTCACTTTTTTTTTAAAAAAATAATGGCTAAAGTGTGATCTCGCACCATGAACCATTCCTGATTATTCATGCCGCACCATGATCTTTAATAAGTGATATTAGAGCCATAAATCATAAAAAAAAAAAAATTCTTCTAAAACTTTTTACAGGTTTCCTACATGTTACCAGTAATAATATTGCTGACATGGAATTTTTTATTAGTTTTTTTTTTGGTATTTTTCTTCTTTTGCCTTCGAATTATTTTTTTTCGTAATTTTCTTTTTTCCTAAATGTATAGGCATGCCTTGCGTTTTTCGCTTCTCGTTTCTTCGATCAGGCCTGCTCTGCGGAGTTTGGTATCGAAGAAACGAGAAGCGAAAAAAGCAGAGCAGACCTATACGTTTAGGAAAAAAGAAAAATACGAAAAAATTATAATACGAAGACGAAAGAAGAAAAATACCAAAAAAATAATAATAAAAAATTTCATGTCAACAATATTATTACCGGTAACCTGTAGGAAACTTGTAAAAAGTTCTAGACGAAAAAAATTAAAATACTATGATTTATGGTTCTAAATATCACTTATTAAAGATCATGGTGCGGCATAAATAATTAAGAATGGTTCATGGTGCGGGATGACACTTTAGCCTA